CAGGATCTGGGGGGGTTTGATGGTTCTGTGGCAGGCAGCATTTTAGTTAAATGGTGTTTCTCCTCTGGGCAATCCACTGACTATGGAAAATCTGTGTATTCAATGTAATTTTTTGGTTGCTTTGCTTCCCTTTATTACATTGTCCATCTTAAACATTTTTTATCATTCAGTAACCTTTACCCTGACTCAAAAACTGTTTGGATGTAAGCAAATTTAATCCCATTAAAATCACCATGACTATCCACTCATAAAACTATAGAGATGATTTAACAGGTTGCTGAATGACAGTCCTGAGACTCATTAGGCCTAAATGTCCCCTGAGAGCCCAAACTCACAGACACTTATGCACATTCTTAAAAATAAACACAGATATTCACATGCAAGTAAAGAAAGAAATATTCACAGCTATGTTTTTAAACATGCACACCTGCAAAATTAGAGCCTGCCTAAATACCTTCCCCACCTGGATTTGAGATATGATAACTGATTCATGCAAATAAACCTACACCATAAAACTATTTATTTCTACTTTCCAGGTGACACAACTAGCAAGTGCAACTTTAAAGTGAACTTCTCCAACTTCTAAAGTCAGTATTAAAATATTGTCAGGCTCCAGGTGGAGGTCATTCCCAAACAGGCACAGATTCTATGGGGATTAGTCTGTGCAGACACTTCAAAATAATCATCCCCTGTAAGAGATCCCTTCCTGAGCTGTGTAGAGCTCATAACTTGTTTTATTAATAGTGTAAATTATTGCTTCACTTTTATTTTTTCATTTTAAAACTGTTTTTAACAATATATATGACAGCCTGAGGGCAAACGTCTCTCTTGGAGGCATGCAAACTTTGCCGGAATCACTAAGGGTTAGGCAGGCGTAGCTTCAAAGGCAGATTTGGGACCTATAACATTAATTCATCCACCAAATGGAGCTCCAAAATCCATTAAGGAAAAATAACTAGTAACCATCTGTCTTTATTCATCAGGCTGAAAGCAGTTAATCAAACCTAGTGGACGTTTTTACTTTCTTCTTTCTCTCTCAACAGCTTTGAACACAGATGCAGCCTTTCCATAATTAAGTTGAGCATTGTAGCTCCTAGACAGATTAATTCTAGAGAGCTTGTCAAAAATGTCAGATGGCAGACAGGTTCTGTGTCTTGTCCCTGGAATTTTTATATTTATATCTACATATATGGGTAGAACACAGATATTAAAATTAATAACCCTTTATAATTCTTATCCCATTCTCTATCATGTGGTAGAGTTTTTTTCTCTCTGTTAGGGATGCAAGTCAGGACAGAACCTCAGCAGTGAACAAATGTCTCCAGGAACTGAGCTGAAATATGGGATGCAAATGGGGAAATACTTTTGCTCACCACTGAACCACACTTTTAACTGAAGGGCAAAAAATTCTGTAAACACATTGATAGTGTTCTGAAACAACATAAAGGTGTCCAAGATTACAGGAATTCTATTATAACAGGCTGGAATATCATTAAATAGCTCATGCCTAAGAGCTATTCCAGGCACATGCTCTCAGGAAAGTTCTCAGACAGTTTCTATCAATTTTAAAAGAATACACACAAGCATCCAAGGAGGCTTTTAGTTCTCAATTACTTTTAACAATGAGCTCATATGGGGGGTTGATTCCCTTTTTCTGAGTTCTAACATTTTAAAGCAGAGAGCATATCCAATTCTTAAGGATTTTATGTTACCTGTTAAATATTATGTTTTTTCAATTTAAGTCTACAGTCAAATTTATGGACTGAAGCTAGAATTTAAAAGACCCTAGGAGTAATTTTTGCTCCCTTCAAAGTGGGTTTTTAAAGAAAGTAAAAGATCATATCAAATACATCTTCATGCTGATAAAATAAGTATTTCAATGACATTTAAAAGTTCAAAGTTTAAAAGTTCTTACCATTATAACTGGTTACAAAGAAGAGGCAGTTACTGTTACATTTCATAAAATAATGCAGCTTGAAAATGAGATGTGCCAAATAATTAGAGATGGTCCCAGAGAAAGCCACTCAATGACTGCAGCAGAGAGACAAGGTGAGAAGGTTTTCCAAGCAGCCATTAAAACTGGACCCCAGGAAGTACTGAGGCAAATCAGTAGATATTGATCAAACTTAATTAGAAAAATTCAAACTAAATAAAAAAAATTATATGGAATATGTTTGTATCCTTAGGGGTATCATTTTCCCCTCATATGTTTAGCTGCTGATAACTGATTAATCCTCAATCTTCTGTCCCCACAGTTATATTGAAAATGGCAAATGGAAATGAGGCACCCACCTACATATGGAAAAGTGGGAAAGAATTAAATACCTCTAGATACCAGACTCTACAGCAGAAAATAGAGAAGAAAGAGATATTTTGAAGAAAAACTCTGTTGTTACAATCTCCCTTTCAATGGCACTTCTTTCCACCAGAATATTTAACTACTTAGCTGCCATAAAGGCTCCAAGATGTGAATACCATTCCCACAGAACACATCAATGAACTGAAGCAGCAAGTTCATCTTTTATTTAATGAAAAATCCCAGCTAAGAACTCCTGGATTGTGGCTCTCAGTTCTGTGCTCAAACACTCAGGGATCATCCTGATGGGAAATGGGAAATGCTCTTGGAGCACACATAGGCTACACCCCATCAAATAACACTTCATAGACATCACAACAAAGGTCAGCTGACAATTGTGTTAGAGATGCTGATACAGAATTTCTCTGGAGAATGAGAAAAAGTAGGAAGATGGCCAGCTGAGAAAATCCAAAGTGGGCAGTGGAGACTGGAAGAGCTCCTCAGAAAGGTGTCAGCATCTCTCTGAACCAGAGAGAAGTGTAAGAAATGTCTAAATATGAACATATGTGAATGGGCAGATACAGGTGCAGAAAAAATTGCTTTTACAAAGACAAGGAAAGAATATATTATTAATCCATGGGAATCATGCCAAAAACATGAATAAAAATATTGTATGAAGATTTTGCCCATGGCTAACTAACTATGACACACCTGGCCTCAGTGTTGTGATTCACAAAGTGTTTCTTATAAACAAGATAATCCTCTTCTATCTACTTAACTGATGTTATCATCCTCACTTGGTGCATGTTTGTTATCAGAAACAAAATTTCAGCATTGATAAATCCAAGAACAATTACTGAAGATAAATAAACTAAATTCTAAAAATGACAGGAGTTTTAAATTCTGAAGGTGAGACTCTTCCTACTCTTTTGAAGGCGCAGATCGTTCAAACTTGATCCAACTTGCCAACAAAACAAGTCTCAAATCCAAGATCTTCAGTGAGGCACAGCCTGTGCCTGCATTGCAGCAGAGGCACATTGAGCTGGAATTTATGGACAAAGCAGCAGTGAGATGCTAATCCAGGCAAGGCTCCCACCGAGTGCTGTTCTGCAGAATTGCTACAGGCTCAGTCCTGAATACAGCCGCAGTTTCACAATTCTGGGAGGATTCTTTGCACCCCACTCTCACCTCTTCTATCACCTACCACCTTTCACACATTTTCCTTGCTCCGAGTCCAGCTGGAAGGAGCTGAGGGGGACCCTGCCACTCACTGTATCCCTCCTGAGAACAGAAGTTCCATGAAAAACTCTGGATTTAACCAACAGAGGTCAGAGAGGAGATACCTCACAGATGGAAAAAGTACAAAGCTGAGTCTCAGATGAGTATTTTTAAGGGCTAAGAACCATAGAACCATTTAGGTTGGAAAAGACCCCCTAGGATCATCAGATTCATGACAGGAATTGGTAACACTGGAGCCTTTAAAACTGGAACTTTACACTCTGTGAAATTCTGTGAGCGTGTTAAACAGCTACTGCAACCTCATGAGGCTAAAGCACAATCCAGCCTTGTACACACCTGCACAAACAGGAATGCATTCATCAAATCATCCATGAATGTAAAGCTCCAAGTTTACAGCAATGCAAGACACAAAATAAAGAGGGAAATAAAGACTTCTAATTATTTTCATCCAACAGTTATTATTATACAATATTGTTTTTCATCCAGCAATTATTTTCATCCATTCTTCTGAATGCCATCATATGCTTGGGTTTGTGCTGCTATAAATATGTCCTTTTGTAATCCCTAAAGTCTCTAAAGTGCCAAAGAACACAGAAAGCTTTTATAAAATCAGTATTTACAGTAAGGGATCTTGAAGACTTAGATGAATGGTGTTAAAGGTTTACATTTGATACCTCACCTGCAAGAGAACAGTTCAACTACTAAAAGAGTCAAAATTGGACAGCTCCATCACCCAGAGACTTCAGAGAGTGCAGCTGGAATACAACAGTCATAACTCAAAGGCTGCAGATGCAGCAAAGAACAGGCACCAGAGGAAAAAAATTACTCTGACGATTTTTCTTAAGAGTGCTGTTGTGAAGCCTTCAGCATGAGACACAAAACAAGCTCCAGCTATTTCATGTGAACTATACTCTGTAGTACTCACATACATATGTTTGATTTAGCTTTAGTTTATAACACTAAAAATTTCTCTATTTATTCCATAAAGGAAGAAAGTAAATTAAAAGTTTGTAACATACAGCACCTTCACCCCAAGATATCAATTATGATAATCACTTCAGCTGTTATGGCCAGAAGCACCAGGCAGTCAACTTGTTCAAGAAATTCAGCAACCCAAATAATCTAATAATTCTAATTTGAAGAAGTCTAAATTATGGAACTCAATGTAATACTGCACCAAGACTACCTAGGAAAACTGGATTTGGAGGCAGTAGATGTTAACTGAGACCCCTTTTTAAAGTGTAAGCTACAGGAGATGGAGCCCTGCCTCCTTGTTCAGCCCTGCTTGGACTGCTTTTTTTATACCAGAGATAATGAGGGAGTTTCCAACTAAAATGGGAAGAATGACTGTAGCCTGATCTCACAAGGGACATCCCAAATTTGAAATTCTCTTCAAGTTAATAAACTTCAGGACACCAGGGGAAGCCCATAATGAACAAAACCCTTGCTGACATGACAGAAGCAGTGTGACACATTTGCACACAAGACACAGGGAGTTTGGCTGCACAAAATATATTCTTACTGACACCTCCAAACTCTGAGTCATTCTGGTTTCTTAATTATAATTATGGAAGGCATTTTCTTCATAAACAGATAAAACATGATGGGAGATGGGATGGTTCTGCCTGATAAGCTAATAATGTGCATGCTGTTGAAGTGTGATTAACTGCTTGCTTGAGTTGATGCCTGTTCCTAGCACAAATTACCTTTATTTGTGGCAGAAGGGAAAGGAGCCAGGACCAAATACAAGAAACACAAATGGTGAAATCTGCTGGTTTGGCCATTAAAAATATGGCACTGAAGGGATTCTCAGTGGCCACCCAAACTGCTCTCACAGGCTTTCCCAGAGCAATTTTAAAAATAGCAAAGGAGCTCAGGAAATGTAAAGTCAAACACTTAGGGAAAGAACTGCACCAGAAAATGTTTTCTCGTGGAAAGTGTTAAAACAACAACTGCTAAACCAGGCCTTCTTTGCTACATTTTTTTTTTTTTTTGGTAACTGGAAGATTATGTATTCAACTTGAGAAATCTTCATTATACAAGAAAGCCAATTACTAGAACATGTTGTTCCTCTAAGTCATCGAGAAGAATATTTCAGCTTATGTGTTTGATGTTTGATTCTTCCATGATCTTATGATGAATGAAGAATTAAGCTGATGTATGACTGGAATTAATCCAAGGTTTTCCACTGGCACAAATTCTGTTTCCATGGGCTGGATACTCTCTGAAAGACATTGAAGCAGCACTTCAAATGCAAAGCTCCTTCAGAACTGTTTTACCATAGGAATCAAAGAAAAAATCAGATATTTCAATACCCTCGTTATTCAGATCCTGCTTCTCCTTCAAGAGATGCAAAAAATCAAAATTACTTAAAACCAGATGCTGCACCCACAAATTCTGCCACAAAGAGTAAAAATTAGGAGCAAGAATAGCTTGCAGTAAATTATTGAAGCTATAGCATACCTCCAGTTGAACAGATCCCACCTTCTTTGTGTTATCATTCCAGGATAAAACATGTCCAAATAAGGCTGTTGAACAGAAGAAAAATGCATGTTGTAACTATCTCATCTTTGTAACATCAGCAATTTTCCCCCCATTTTAGAGTTACTGGATTTATTTTGTTTTGACTAAGTGCTTTGAACCTTCCAAATTTTTGGTTCTGAACAAATCCCTTTTAAAGGAAAGCTCAGGCTTGTGTCAGAATCTCTTATCTTGAATTAGCTCAGAACAGAGTCACACATCAGGCCATGATAAAATGCTTATGAATTCTGAATTCTGTAATCATTAGTTTCATGGAACAGAATAAATCAGTACCAAAGATACACAAGAGTGTGGTGCTCTTGCAAACACCAAGATGCCATTAAGGAAGCCTTATGAAGGTTATCTTGCTTAAGCACAGCTGAAGCAAGAGATTTTGTCTTCTTTTGAGTTTGCTTTCCCCTACTTCCCCCACTCTTACCTAATCTTTCCTCTGCAAAATTATGTAATTTTTGGAATGTTTTCAAGGTCATTACAGAACTAAAGGGTAGTAACATTTTTAAAGCCAGTGTCCTGATTTCATGCAGATCTAAGTGCCTGAAAATGGGAGACTACTGCCTAGACCTTGAACACAAAACCAGGAATATGAAAGCACCAGGAGTGTGAAGACATAAGACATTCTTCAGCAAACATACTTCTTTTCCCCTGCATTTTCCACTGAGAAGACCACAGAAATGCACAACAAATTCAGGCCCTGGTGTTCTTGCTGACACATCTCATCCTCACCACCAGTGTCTGCAGACTTCTTACACACACAGAGAAAATTAGCACAGTACAAGATTTGGATTAATGAACACATTTTGCCTTGAGTTTGTTCTACATATGGTATCTACAGCACATGATTAGCTGCCTGTGAAGCTGAAAGATCCCTCAGATCCTTCCAAAAGATCAAAGTAAAACATCAACTGGGTGTTCAATTATTAGTGTCAATGATTCATAGCAGATCAACTTCATCTTCCTTTTGCTGGAGGGTAAGATTTCTGTAAACCCATGGATAGCTGAATTAAATTATAATTACTTGAACAGGAAGGCTTCCCTTGTTATTAGTGTGGTAAATAAGGGCATCTGAATGTACATCAATCACACTTGAAACTGAATCAGAGAATTACTGAAATGTAAGTGTATAATTACCTTCTGAAATAGCCTCTTATTGAGATTTTAGAAGTCTAGCTTTAAGTAACAAAGACATTCAGCACTGCATTCCAAAACCTGTCCTCCCCTACTCTGAGAGCAAAAACATCTGTGAGAGTATTTTCAATAATATTTTACTAATCTTTCCATAAGGCATTTCTTAACATACTAACTTTTAAAGTATATAATCATTTTAGGTACAAAGAGGCTCAACCCTTAAGCCTATGCAGTGCCGTGTGCAATATTGAAATTATTAATGAGGTTACAGGATGAGCTAAAATTTGGCTTTTACTTCCAAGGTGCTGCAATTACATTGGATAGCATCACCTGGTACTGCTAAGGACTAATATCAGTGCAACATGTTATGCAAACAGATACCAACACCTTGGGACACCAGGTCAAATTACCACTTAAAAAAACACATAAGGCTTAAGGGAGCTTAAGATCAATATCACAGGAGCAAACACTGACTTCAGACACCTGGACTGAAGTGCTCAGCAGTGGGTGAGTCCCTGCAGACTCTGTTCAGCTCCATGGAGGTTATGAAGATTAAAATATACTCATTCTAATAACTGGGTTATTGATGTGCCCTGCAGGGTAGACAAAGAGACACAGAGACCACAAACAGCAACTTGGCATCAAAGTAAAAAGGGAGAACACAGTCCTATGCTCAACCATTCACTCATCCCAAAATATGCAAAGTTTCTTCCCTTCCCTTTAGGATAAATAACTGCTACTTTTGGAAATGGGATAATCTACATTTTTCAAAGAATTACAGAATGGAAAATAAGTTAATTTCTGATGGCTCCACAGAATATATGCATCACTTCCTAATGCTGGACACCTCAGAATCAAGCTTGTTCCATAAGAATCTTCACCAAGAGAATGCAAAGCATTTTCAGTGTCTTTTATAGTAATGATTTTTTACATAACTAACACAATGAGAATGACCACAATGAAATCCACACAGAAAATCCAAATTAGCCAAGGCATGACTACTAAAATGTTATGCTCTTGATGTCTTGAAGGCTGACCTAGAACAGAGGCTGAACAGAGCTAAAAAATAAAGCAGGGATTTATTAAAAGGCCTCAATGGATCCACCTTTGGCAGTACAAGAGCCCAGCCAGGGCTGCACCCAAGATTAATCAAAATGATCACAAAATGGATGACTGGTCACAGGGTCTCTCACTTTTATAAGTTCTGGTCCATTTACAAATGGGAGTTAATTGTCCAATTACAGCTTTAGGTTATGAAGTCCCATCTTTCTTGCTTTTCTCTCTTCATTCCACCATTGTTTGTGCTCTTGGGCCTGAGATTTGGATCATTTGTCCTTGGTCCCCAGCTGGAGAAAAAATTGTTTTGTCTCCCTGCTCTGTGAAGAGAGATTACCTAATATGAAGCCCAGAACCACACACTAAAGCAGTACAGAACCTGAAAAATATAAAAGCTAAAACCTGAGACATCATTTCCCCCCTTGAGGCATCACTCCATGAAGGAAGGCTGCCCCGTGCCAGCCAGTTGTTTACACCACACAGGGCACATGTGTTGTGTGAAATACCTCGCTGGAACTAAGCCCTGACATCAAATACAACAGTGACATTAATGCTGTCAGTGCTGCAGCAGTGCTACAGCAGCTCCTTCTCCCAGGGCACGGGTGGTATCTGAGTATGGAACTGCAGAAGGAACCATGCAGACACAAAGCAGTTGGTTTGACCGACAGCTGCTTGGTATTTCTGCCCAACCTGCTCTTTTGGGGTGAAGTCTGAGCAGTTTGTCCCTTCTGAAAGCTGACTGCACCTCCTACACCCACACTCCCAGGCAGAGCTGCTCCTGGGAACAGCAGGAGGATGGAAGGTTCCCTCCTGCAGAGCCTTGAGCAGAGCTGCTTCGAGCAACTGAGGAGGGACAGAACCCTGTGAGCTGGGACAGCATCACATCCCCTTCCCTCCACGGGTTATTCACTGGATCTTGCTTCTGGATATGTATGGAAAGGAACTTGTTAGCTACAGTTAACATTCACCCCAAAATCCACATCCACACTCAAGATGATCCCAAAACTCTAATAAAATGGAGGTTTGGTTTTTTTTGACAGCCTAGAAAGAATTACATAACAAAGCCTTTCAGTACAACATAAAAATCTTCCTTCATCCAAGGATCTCAAAACACTCTGCAAACAGTCTGACCCTTTCCAAGACTGCTGAGTAGAGGCTACTTTCCATTTTGTGAATTCCCACTTTGATAAAGAATCCACTACTCCTTGCACCTCCTTCTAGTCAGGACTAAAATGTTTATAAAGTCATATCTCCTAAAGTGAGGGAGCACAGCAGAATTAGATTATAAAAATGATATAAAGCAACTGCTCAGATGAACAATTCAGTCAATGGTGTTCACTAAGCAGTAAATACAATTAATACTGAAATCCTTTTCCTTTCTCAGTGTGGAAAAAATAGGCTAAGTTTTTCCATTACTGGAACTCACATGAAAAAGCAACTAGAAGCTCTTTGGATGGTCATCTCCACACCACCAGATGCATGACACTTCCACAAGCAACACTGTACACTCAACAGCTACCCTAAGAAATCAGTGCTAACCTTTTCAAAGGGTGTAACTTGCACACTTCTCTGAGCTCTTTAAGCTCCATAAATCTGATTTCCTAGTTTATTTTTACAGCAGCTCCCATCTGAGCATCAGAAACACAAACGAAACCAGCACGACCATAACCTCAGGCAGGGAGAAAGTTCAATGACACCTCTGTCACAGAACACAAATCAATGTTCTGAAGGTCTCTAAGGAAACCTCTGCCAGAGCCAAGACAAAAACTCAGAATAGCATTTTATCCATAACACTTTTCCCCTTGAAACATATTCCAGTCTCATCTAGACTGAATGTTTGATTCTAATTTTGAACATTACAATTCTGATTTCCCTCTCTGTGTTCTGTTTTCAACTCTTTAGTATTATTTTAACCAATTGGTTTTATATGTTTTAACAAGGCCATAAACATGGTTGGTGCTACCTAGTTTTAAATCTTGTTCTCTTCTCTCATTGCATTGTTCAATGAAAAAAAAAATCACAATTAAGTAATACCCAAAAGAAATCAATCAAATAGTAAGAAAACAGTAAGCTAAGGTTTTTTCCTCAGATGAAATATTGCCCTGCTTCCTGAAAAAGTACTGCTAGCACACTTTGTATTTTGATGACAAAAATAATTTTACTAGCTAAGTATTTTAAATTGCAAAAGGAACCAGATGAACTAACATACTATGAAAGAATAATTAATTATTTCATTGCTTATTCTTTCTAACTTGCACTGTTTACAGCAGCTGCCTATTTAGCTGATTTAAGGATTCCTGTGCAGCCCATTTCAGGTTCACTGCAGATAATTCCCAGTTACACTGCATATCCTTCTATCCTGCCATATCTTGCCCTAATGTGTAATTCAAGGTATCAATGCAATCTCTTCAAGTAGTCTCATTGCCTGCATGCTGAGATACATGCAAGGCATGCTCCAAAAATCCTGGATCTTTAAAGCGAAAAGTGGGGTTTACATGGTTTTTTTTTAAGAAGGACACAATCTCGGGCCTAACATTCTATTATGTATAAAATAAAACTGGGAGTCCATTCATTTGATGGCATAACAGAACTTGTGATATATTCAGAAAGTCCATAAAACCTTAGGAAAAGCAGAGTCTCACAGGAAAGGAAAAAACAGTAATAAATGGGTTGTGCAAAACTGATATCTGAGAGTGTCAAGTCTTAACACCACATCTGTAAATGTCAAAGGAGGACAATATTTACCCACAGCTTTCACAGATGTCACCATTTTGAAGGAATGAATCTTGCTCACTATTCTCTGAAGCCATAAAAGGACAGCTCACTATGAGAAAAAAAATTATAGTGGCTTAAAAGAACATCTTTACAGTATCTAACCCACAGCCTTATTTAAGTCACAATGTCCATAATTATGAGATAACCTGTCAAAAGTCACTCTCTGTAGATGACATACCAGACAGAGAGCAAGATAAAGCAGAAAGTACAGAGAGGGCTCTCAGTCCTGCAAATTGTCCTGGATGGACACATCACAAAGTCCAGGGGACAAACGTCATCCTGAGGTTAACAGCTGCTTGTGCAAACAGAGGGATTTACTCACACAGCACAGAGGGTGAGAGAGCACAAAGCTCTGTGAGTTATGAGGAGAAAGTGGCTGAACATGGGAGTTCATCTGTGGAGATACTCAATGCCAACACAACCCCTTGGAACCCCTCTGGCTGGACCTGCTTTTCACAGGGGTTCAACAGGGCAAGATCCTCCCAGCCTCAGATATTCTATGATCCTTCAGTATTCCATTGAAACACAATTTCTTTGATCAAAAGAGAGAAACCAAGTGCCCCAGCCTCAGTAAAACTCCTCAAAAGTAAAAAAAAACCCTTTGTGTCTACAGATCTCAGGGAAAGTTCAGGACTCTTTTGGACTTTGCAGGTGATTTAACACTTGGGAAATTATTCTCAAAACCTTCATCAAGATTATAAATTAATCCTGAAGGCATATGGAGCCATACAGAATCCTTATATTTAGTATTTAGGAAAAAGTAAGGGATTTTTCTGCTTGTGAGATAGAATTCTTATACCTCTGTGAACACACCATTGATTATATGTCTGGATGGTATCTCAGGGGATGCCTCAAGGCTGTTTGCTATGACTGAGGATGCCCTCCACACCAGACACTCTGCACATCTCCACAGGTGCAGCAGCTCTGTATAACCAGGTACAGCACCAGCTCCATCTTGAAATTTCTATGTAAGAGTCCCAGAGGTTCACCAGCAAGAAATCATTGCTAAAGGAAAAAAAAAAAACTTTAGTACTTGCAGAATTCTTAGAATCTGCTTAGTTCTAATTCTTGCCAGCCATCCATCAAAAATACAATAAAGCCTACTGCATCTACTTCTGTCAAGGTTTTGCAAAACAGAAAGGAGTTTTGCAGAGTTTTAAGTAGCTTTGACACTGAATCCATTCTCTGGTATTCCCCAAGTGGCTCAGTTCTGCAAATGAAAAATGGAATACACCACAAGCCAGGCTTTGATCATGTAATTCTTCATTGTTTTCTTATTATAGCTCTCTCTCACAGACAGCTGGGACTGCTGATGTGAACTCAGGAGCAGTTCTGCTGCAGCCAGGCAGTGCTGTGCAGTCTTCCCACTGCCAAAAACATCTCAATCTCTGCACAGGGCACAGCAGACTCCTGAGAGTGTGCTCCATGGTTCAGGCTCATAATAAATACTGCAGGATGTGGGACGGCCACTTTGATCCAGGGAGATGCTCTCCCAGATGTGGTGGACATTCAAAGGCAGCTGTGGTACCTTCACAGCACCAGGGAAGTACAGACTCACTAAGGCTGGAAAAGACCTCCAGAATCATCAAGTCCAACCTTTGACCTAACACCAACTTGTCAACTAAACCACAGCATTGCAATGTCCAGTGATTTCTGGAACACCTCCAGAGTTGGTGACTCCAGCACTTCCCTGGGCAGCCCATTCCAATGCTTGACAACCCCTCCCATGAAGAAACGTTCAGCTGCAAGTCCAGAAACTCCTGTGTCCACCCAAATTACCCAGAGTCAAGGGCTCCTTCGCCCCTCTTAAGTGTCCCAGACCTCTGCAGAGCCTCACAGCCTGGGATGACACTTGCAGGCACCCCCTGAGGGAATCACAGGGTGGTTTGGGTTGGAAGGGACCTTGAGGATCACGTAGTTCTGTCCCCTACCGTGGGAAATGACACCTTCCACTAGACCAGGTTGCTCCAAGGTCAGGGATGGCGCAGCCACAGCTTCTCTGGGCAACCTGTGCCAGGACCTCACCACCCTCAGAGAGAATTTCTTCCTAGTATCTGATCTAACCCTACTCTTTCAGTCTGAAGCCATTCTCCCTTGTGTTGTCCCTATTGCAAATAGTCTTGCCCCATCCTTTCTCTGAGTTCCCTTCAGCTACTGCAAGACCGCAATTAGGTCGCCCTGGAGCAAGAGTGACCACAATTAGGTCACTCTTTTCCAGGATGAACAATCCCAGTTCTCCCAGCTGGAGGCAGCTCTGCAGGTGGGGTCTCACCTCAGTGGGGCAGAGGGGCAGAATCCCCCCTTCCCTGCTGCCCACACGGGGGGATCAGCTGGGGGGCTCAGCCCGGGGGAATCAGGGCTGGGCTACCGGGGGATTCAGCCTGGGGTATGGGGGATCAGCCCGGGGTATGGGGGGATTCAGCCCGGGGTATGGGGGGATTCAGCCCGGGGTATGGGGGGATCAGCCCGGGGTACGGGGGGATTCAGCCGGGGGCATGGGGGATTCAGCCCAGGGTACGGGGGATTCAGCCCGGGGTACGGGGGG